AGTCAAAACCACTTAAATAACAAGTCAAACTACTGTTAAATAGGATAATAATGCAATAGCAAATCTTTTATTTATTATTATTTTTATAGATTACTAACAACATAACTTTAACTAACTAAGATAAACGTATAATGGCGAATTAAGATCTAAAATAAACGTATATTTAGTTTTTTTAATTTAAAAATTATTTGTATATAAATGATGGTTGTCAACAAGTAAACATATACTGAATATCGAGTTTTTTATTTGATTAAAAAAATACAATACAAACAGGGGCGGATTTAGGGGTGGTCACCGGTGGCATCGGCAACCCCTAACTTTTCAGGCCGTAGTGAAAAAATTTTCGAAAATTTTTAAAACTTTTATTTTTTCTACTATCGTGCAACCCCTTACTTTCTCGTGCACCCCCTACCGAGAAATCCTGCGTCCGCCCCTGAATACAAACTATTAAATTAGATTATATAAAATGACAACGTCAAATATCGAACAAAATTTCATAGTCCATCGTTGAGTAATGTAAAATTAGAAGGGTGAAATATAGGTTACCTAAAAAGAGTTTATATATTTGAGAAAACCAAAATTTTATTTATGTATGTTTTCTTTGATGAATTAGTTCACCAAATCCTAACCAGCAAATATCATCAAACATCCATGAAATTTACTCAAAACATATTTTTAAGGTATAAATTTTTATTAAGAAATTGAATTAAAAGTAAATATTCTTTTCGATATCTTATTATTATTTTTATTTAATTATAAATTCGTAAAACGAATATATAACTTTAATTCCAAGATGTATTTTTCATAGTATAAACTGGTTGAAATATATTTTTTATGCTTATAATTTACTATGCCTACGCTAACAATTTAATTATATTTAATTTTTTTGGTCCAAAATCCAAATGTATATTAAAAATGGAAGAAAACCCATAATATCTTTACATTCAAACAGAGTTCTTCCGACGTAAGTTCTCTCTCTGTTTCTCTCTCTCTCCCTCTTTCACACACACACACTAAAACTTGGGTTTCTTCTCAACTGAAGCTGGACTCATTAAATCTTCCTATCTCTCTTGAATGAATGAAATTAAAGTCAGCCAGCTCCTTCCACTGCTGCATTAGTTGTAGAGAGAGAAAAAAAGAGATAGATCGAGAGATTGATGGGTTTAATTGGGTTTCCTTGTTTCGGTTTTCAAATAAAAAAAAATGATGAAACACCTTTATTTCTTTTTTGATTATTTGAATTCATAAATACATTTACAACGAACCTCTGTTTTTGCATTAATGGCGATTCATATCAAATGGCTGAAAACAGGAGAGAGATGTTAAACACTCTGTCACAGTAATTGCTTCCCATCTTCTCAACCACATGCTTATATAAATCACACCTCAGTTTCCACTCTTTTTCGCTCATCTCCTTCTCCCTCTGTTTCCCTGTTTTCTCTCTCTCTCTCTCTCTCTCTCTCTAGTAGTATTCTTCATTTCTCTCTGTAACTCGAGTTATAATCAAGCTTGATCGTCTGCAATTTGATCTTTTTGTTTTCTCTGAAATTCCATTTGTTGATGTAATGCTAGTCGGATTGAGCATTCCTCACTCACATTTTTTGAAGCTTTCTCTCTCTACTCTCTCACTAAAAGTACGATTTTTTGGTTGAAATAAACGAAACCCATAATTTGTTGAAGTGGAATCTGATCTGGGTCGTGTTGATTTTCACAGAATTTTATTTGAAGAAATTTGGCGGGAAGAAGGTGATAGATACACCATGGATGTATCTATTGCTCTGATGTTGTTTCTTGCAGTGACTGCTTATCTGCTATGGTTTACTTTCATCTCACGGTCATTAAAAGGTCCACGTGTATGGCCATTATTCGGCAGTCTTCCGGGACTGATCGAGAATTCAGATCGGTTGCACGAATGGATTGCAGATAATCTTCGGGCCTGTAACGGGACCTATCAAACATGTATCTGTGCAGTCCCGTTTCTAGCCCGAAAACAAGGTCTTGTAACCGTCACCTGCGACCCGAAGAATCTTGAACACATTCTGAAAACCCGGTTTGATAATTACCCAAAGGGTCCAACATGGCAAGCTGTTTTCCATGATTTATTAGGAAAAGGGATCTTTAATTCGGATGGCGATACGTGGTTTCTACAAAGGAAGACGGCGGCACTTGAGTTCACAACCAGAACACTACGACAAGCCATGGCTCGATGGGTGACTCGAGCGATCAAGAATCGGTTCTGTCCGATTCTTGAACGGGCTCAGGTCCAGGCCGAACCCGTAGATCTACAAGATCTTTTGTTACGAATCACTTTTGATAATATCTGCGGATTGGCTTTCGGGAAAGACCCACAGACGTTAGCCCCTGAGTTGCCCGACAACAGCTTTGCATTGGCTTTTGATCGGGCAACTGAGGCTTCTTTGCAACGTTTTATTTTCCCCGAAGTCATTTGGAGAATGAGGAGATGGCTCCGGCTTGGTTTGGAGGTCAGCTTGAGCCGAAGCCTTGTTCACGTGGAGGAGTATTTGTCGAGCATCATTAGTACACGCAGGCATGAATTGTCCAGTCAGCTTAAAGATGGAGGGTTACATGATGACTTGTTATCAAGGTTTATGAAGATGAAGGAATCCTATTCTGATACGTTCTTGCAACACGTGGCACTCAACTTCATCCTAGCTGGACGTGACACATCATCTGTGGCGATGAGCTGGTTTTTCTGGTTGGTGATTCAGAACCCAAAAGTGGAAGAGAAAATTCTTAAAGAAATCTCTAGCGTCTTGCTGGAGACACGTGGCGATGACGTGGAGAAATGGACAGATGAGCCATTAGGTTTTGAAGAGGTGGACCGACTGGTTTATTTGAAGGCAGCGTTGTCGGAGACCCTTCGACTATACCCATCGGTGCCAGAGGATTCGAAACATGTTATTTCCGACGATGTGTTGCCGGACGGAACTTTTGTTCCGGCGGGATCTTCAGTTACTTATTCAATATATTCGGCCGGCCGGATGAAGTCAAGTTGGGGTGAAGACTGTCTCGAGTACCGCCCAGAGCGGTGGTTGTCTCCCGACGGCACAAAATTCGTGAGGCATGATTCGTATAAATTTGTTGCGTTTAATGCCGGACCAAGGATATGTCTTGGGAAGGACTTGGCTTATTTGCAGATGAAGTCTATTGCGGCGGCGGTGTTGCTACGCCACCGTCTGGCGGTGGTGCCGGGGCACAAGGTGGAGCAGAAGATGTCGTTGACGTTGTTCATGAAGTATGGGTTAAAGGTGAATGTGTTTCAGAGGGATTTGAGGGCAATTATGGAAAGTGTGAAGAAAGAGAAAGAAGGTGTCGACTAGCGGCGGCAAACGGCGGTGGTTGGGGTTGTTTAATTTTGGTGGTTGGGTTGATTTATCGGTATAAAGTTTGAGGTAGGTCTGAATTTTGAATACTATTAAATTTTTATTTGGGTTCGGGTTCGGGTTGAGCTTGTGCTTTGAATATGGTCACATGCAATTTTTATTATTTTTACATCTTGTAGGTACAATTTCATTTATTATTGTGCCATAATAGTCTTATTTGGATTTCCATTATGGAAAGATAAATAATAACCGTATAAATTTTTAACAATAATTATTTTATTTTTACTTTGAATAGCTATAAGAATATGGATAATAGTATATACATTGAATGTTTGTTGTGGAATTTTTTTTTTTTTTTTTTGGAGTGACTGTATTCAAAATGTGCTTTCATAGATTCTACTAATGTACTATATAATTTCAGTTACAATTAAGTATGATTAAAAAGAGTTCTATAGAAGTCGATTAAAAGGTAGCAATTGAAGGTGTGGAAATTTGGTTACAGTCAATTTAAACCTTTTGTATGTTAATAGAAAAAGACGTATAAAGATAGTTTAATCACAAAATATCAAAAAAGACAGGTCTATTACAAGATGATCTATCTTTAAATATTTAATATTTAGAGTTTGAAAGGATAAGAATGAAATTCTTATCTATTATTATGAAATAATCATTTATTGTTTTCAATTAAATTTGCAAAAAAATGTTTTTTTTGGTGCAAACTCATTTTATGAATTGTCCCCGTTACAAAACTATAAAAGGACTATTACATGCTTTTAAGATGAACATGAGTGAATTGATTGTCAAGATAGACAACTCGCGAGTGTTTGTTGTCTTGGAAGATAATGTACTGGGAGGCAGTCTCATGCTTCTTGAGCGGTGCTATCAGACTCGAGTATTGTATGAATGAGATCACTGAAGATTTGTTCTATAGATCCATTGTATGATGATTGCATCTAAAACTGCCTAAATTTGCAGTCTTTTTATTGTCTATAAGCTTTAAGAAGGATGATATGATCGAATATTTCAAATGTTTTACTCTAGTCACATGGCCGTGTCACTTTTACACTTAAAATTCCATACGGACATGTGGACTGTATAACTTCCGAAAAAAAAAACTACAGTTTATCAATTTTAATTACGGGATTGAGTCACTTTTGAGTGTTTATTACATTGTAGTTCTCTTGATGTAGTCGTCTTTAACTGCTAGACCATATATAGATGTTTAAATTAGTATAATGATTAGACTATATTTTAAATTAATAGAGAAAATTGTTCACATATTGCCCTTATAATCTACAATAGCCGAACAAGTTAAATGGCATATAATATAATAAAAAAAATGACTAAATGCGTATAAAAACAAACAATTAATTAACAATTAAAGAAAGTTTGATCGGAAAGGGGTGGATGTACTTGTATAGGTTATATAATTTCAGTTTCAATTAATTATGATTAAAAATAGTCGGCAGCAAATAAACACATGAAAAGTTGGTTACATTCAATTTAAACCTTTTGTATCAACAGAAAAGACACATGCATATAAATTAAGACGATCATATCGGCTCAAATGCAAGCAATCAATTATGAATGGAAACTACAACCAACCCAATCCAATTTTTGAAGGACAAATTCAATTTATTAATTGTAAACAATTTTCGACTGAATTGATATGTTCCTGTCTTCTTCTTGTCTTTGTGTTTACAATTAAAAATAAATAAAAATTACAGCCTCAACACATTCATTACATATAACAACAGCTTTTGCATCTTGACATGATTCATCATACCAAATATATATATGATCCATGTAAATGGTACGTGAATTAATTATGCAAACCAGTCACAGCCCCATTTTAGCCTTTAATTTATCTAAATTCCCTATTCTGATTATTATTCAGTCTAGAATTTTCTCACCAGTGGAAAACAGGTTCCAAACAAGAGTCCCAATGAGGTACAACACAACTGCCACCTTGAATACATCATCCCACGTACCTGAAACATATCATTCCTTATGTCATGTCTTGATGATATATATATATATATATATATATATATATATATATATATATATATATATATATCACTCTTTTATTATTATTAGTTAAGTAATGATTTATGAAGTTACCATTCTGGAGTATATAACCAGTTGCAGCTGTACCAAAGACTCCAGCAAGTACTCCTGCTGTGTTAGACAGCCCCAACAAGACTCCCTGGCAAGTCAAAAAGGGATTAGTAAAAGTCAATGGAAATTATGAGATGCATTATCTGTGATGAAATTATAAATTAGAATTATTACTAACCGCATATCGGGGTCCAATGTCTTGGTGATTGGAGTAAAGGCCAGATTGAGAGAATGCATCAGATCCCTGGCACATAACGGTTTTTAGTATAATTGTTTGATTTTTGAAAGCTATAATGTTTGTGTTAATTTAAAGGATAAAAAAAATTGAGACCTGACTGCAAGCCATACAAAGCACTGCCATTGCAGGTGTCTTGACACGGCTCAGCTGTGTAAGAAAGAAAGCAGGGCCCAAGAATCCGATCGACTGCATTATCTACATACATATTGAAAATATTTCACATAATTAAATTTAATCATATAAAATTTAAAAAAACAACAACAGTATATTTATTATTTAGGTTACCTTACGAACAGTGGTAATTGAAAAACCTCGGCTAACAAGTGTGTCTGCAATCCAACCTCCAATGTTGGCAAACACAGCCATGGTCAACCATGGCAATACACATAACAGTCCGGATTCAGTAAGGTTAAACTTTAAGACCTGGAGCAAAAATAATATGTGATAAATGTTAGTTTAGTTGATCTGAAAATATGGATAAAAACTTTTTAATAGTATATAGTACCTGGTTATAGTAAGTAGGCATCCATGTGAGAAGAATAAAAGTTCCCCAATTATGACAAAAGTGGGAGACAATGAGAGCCCAAACAGGTGCTTTTGATAATATAAGTCTCCATGGAATTTCAGTCACGGGTTCCTTTGAGACACTGCCACCTAAGATATACTTCTTTTCCTCTGCACTAAGCTCAGGGTCATCTGTTGGTGAACTATGAGCCTGAAATGTCAAAGTCAAACCCAAAGAATTGCTACATTAATATTGGATATCTTTTAAGGGTCTGTTTGATTTTGATATGATGCAATGGAATGGAATGAGCAAGGTAACGGGAATGGGTCTGTAATGATATCATGTTTGGTTGGCTTGAAGTTGAAGGAATGGAATGTGTTGTCATGTAAACATGTAGTTTGTTAGAAAATGAATTGATAAATAAATAAAGTTGTTATTTTATAAATAGAAACTATAGTTATATAAAAATATATCAGTAAATAAATTAATATTAAATACCATCAAAATTTAAATATAACTAACTATAATTAAATATTATTGTTAGTTATTCTTTGGAAATGAGAAATAAGAAAAATCATTCCATTCCTAAGTGAAAAACAGACAAGAATTTTTTTCATTCCATTCCCTTTCCAGTTACTGCATCCTCCTTATATTATATTATTAAAAACTTACTTTGGCCAGCCAGAAAGCAAACCAGACACTTCCAAGGGAACCAAAGGAGTAGAATACAGATGGCCATGCAAACTTTTGAATCAAAATGGGAGATATACCCAAACCGATAACAGAGCCTAGATACATTCCACTGTACACCAATGCCAATGATCTACTTCTTTCCGAGACTGGAATCCATTTGCTGAGTATGTTATTCATAGCAGGCATTGCAACACCCTGTAAAAGTAAAACACGCACGCACTGTTTGTCTGTTTCTGTTTTGGTTCGATATGGATGAAAAATGGATACCAACCTCCCCAATTCCCATGAACGCACGCATCACAAGCAAGAAAGGAAGTCCGATTTTGGCAGCAATTGGAGTTAAAACCGTTGCAACCGACCACCAGATCACTCCAAAACCAAGTACTTGTTTACCACCAATTTTGTCTGCCCATATACCTCCAACAATCTACTACCCCAAAAAAACACATTCACATACACAAAAATTAAATATAAATTTATTAAACTTTTTCCCATTACCCAGCTTTCATATATATATATATATATATATATATATATATATATATATATATATATCTACTTTCATCATTTTATCGATTTAGACACTTAACTATTATTACCTTTTATCATTTTAGCTACTGAACTATTACATTACATTTTATCTAGTATTATAATAAACGCAAATTGTGGGGAAAAGCAACATACTTTTACTCTCGCTACCAATATTATCAATGTGCTTCATATTTTTTTTCATACTATGTTGCTACTTGCTATTATGGATAAGGAAATGTGAGTATATTGCTATTATGGGTAGAAAATAAAGTGCATCTTACAAGTTTTAGGCTACATAGGTCATAGCGCTATTATCCGTAATAAGTGTAAGTATATTGCTACTATGGGTAACAAAAATTAAGTACAATGCCAATATTGGTAAAAATAGTGAAGTACATTGCTATTTCCTGCAACTTGCCCTTATAATTCGGACTAGTTTTGCGACTAAATCAATAAAATAGTAAAAGTACGTTGTGCTTTTCAGTATTTTGTCTTTTTCCAAAATCCGGGAAAACGGTTTATCAAAACTGTCGAAAAAAGTTTACTCATTTAATCACTATAATTTGATAAAATGGTGAAAGTAGGTTGTGCTTTTTTGTATTTTTGCTTAATAAAATGCATACAAGAGTTATATGGAAACTAGAAAATACTCTCAGACCTGAGTAAGTAAATAACCCCAGAAGAAAGAAGACTGAATTAGACCAACTGTAGCACTGTTCCAGTTAAACTCCTTTGACATAGGCAGTATTGCTATGCTCATATTCACCTGAAATAATTATTTATTGATATAAGCAGTAATAATTATTAACACCATATAAAATTATTTATTACCCTGTTGCATAGTAAAAAAACTGGAAGATAAATTATTAAAAAAAAAAAAACTCACACGGTCCATATTGCATAGCAGAAAAGCAGAAAAGCAAAGAAGTACTATCACCCAGCGCTTTGGAAACTGATTTGTTTCTTGTATTTCTCCAACTAAAACAGCCTCACTTGCTCCTCCTTCTGATGATACTACAAGTGAATCCAAATCTGTTCCTGCCACGTCATACTCCTCAGATTTATAGTTTGCCCGAATTCTATTAATTGTAGTATGTCGTGGTTGCCTATTGAATATACTGTCATGTTTTAGCTGTTCTGGTTTAATCCAATTGCATCTTGCTATTCGTCTATGATTTCTGATTTGGAACTTTTTGCTTTCTTGTGGGATTGTTGAAAGATGAACACCATGAGAAGATATGGCATTCCAGTATCCGGAAACAAAGTGGATCTTCTTTAGACTGTATAGTTTTTCTGAATACATGTTCCTATGCACATGCTGTGCAGAAGAAAAGCTTAATTTCTCTGCTCTTTGATATGTTGTATCTTGTTCAGGTTTATGAATTCTACCTGAAATAAAACATTGCCCATGGATAAGCATAATCATTAAAGGGATTATGAATGAGCTTTGTCCAAATATTCATATGTATATAATAGTTCTCCCCTAATTCCACGAGGGAAAGAACATCTATATGTGTAATCAAGACTAACATAAAAAGTGAGATACAATTCAAGTGCCAAAAGGCCCAACACCTACATTTTCTATATCGTTACTTTAACAGCAGCAATGTGAAATTAAGAAACATTACACGCACACACCAAGGCATGCAAATAGATGACAGAAACTGCATTTTCTATATCGTTACTCAAACAAATGGAACAAGTCAAGTTCTGTGAGAAATTAGGGCGCTAATGGCCATTTTTGACCAGATAATCTACACAAAGTTGGTATTTGAAGAATTTATTGCAGATTCACACTAATTACTCTCTCTTGTTTAGAAGAATTCTGATTAACATAAAAAATGAATTACTATTCGAGTGAGGAAAACTAAATGTATGAATATGATATACAAAAGATTCATCAAGTACATTTACACACGAAAAATTCTTCATACAAACAATAACTCTAACCTAATTCAACAACAGATTAACAATAAGTGATAACTACTTATCATTACCTGAGCTGATGAAAGATGTGAAGTTCCGGTGAGATATAACGGCGCCGATGGCCATTTCTGACCGGATAGACTACACAAATCTGGAGTTCGAAGAATTTATTTCAGAATTACACCATAATTTGACACGCTCTCTCTAGCCTAGAGTGAGAGGAAGAGGATAAACCCTGCAGAAATGTTTTTCTTCATACGAATTTTCGACACCAAAAATTGAATTTAAATTTTTATTTTTTTTTCTCAGATTTAAAACAGGGGGACAAAAAATATCTTGTGACAAAGATACTAATAAGAGGCTGAGGAACTGACACGTGTCCAGTCATGTAGAGGATTTCTTATTTTGGTACAATATTATCCCTGGCTGAAGCAAGATTTACGTGGTTGTTTCCTTAAAAGGATGTGAAATGAAGGGCAGTTTGGGTATTTGCGAGAAAGGGATATTCCTTGTTGAGCTAGGGTTTTAGATTGGGTAAAAATTTTACAACTGTAATACCTTGCAATATAGAAAACGTTGTTATTTTTTTTAATTAGAGTAAATTACAGTTTTGGTCCCTATGGTTTGGTCAAATTCGCATATTCAGTCCAATCTTTGAAAATTTGACAAAATGTATCCCTGTGGTTTAAAGAAATTACACTGCACATCCTTAATCCACTTAAAAAAACCATTTTACCCTTACTTTTATATATTTCATTTTCTTATATATATATATATATATATATATATATATATATATATATATATATACTAGGTAGGTTTTGTGGGCCGTGATAATCACGGCCCATGAAGGGTAATTTTAGTATTTTTCTCTAAAATGGGGTCGACACAAATATGATTTGCGTGTTTCTATTGGTTTTCAAAGTTGATTGTCAAGACATATCAATATTGAAAAATGGTGCTATAAAAGGAAAAAAGAATAAAATAGAATGATATAATACATAACCAAATGACATTACATTTGCTACTTGCATTCAGCCCAAAGATCTCCAATTTTCTTTTTTCTTTCTTCGACGATGGCATCAGAAATTTTAGCCTCAATAGTTTTTTGGATCGTCAAGTAGAAGCTTCGCTATGGCAGTTCTTGCCATTAAAACGCACAAGAAAATCCAAAATTAATCAATTTAATACACACAAGAATAACAAACAACTAAATCAAAGGAGCATCAAAAATGGAATTTATGTACTATATTTCATGGCCGAGTTGTTGGCCCACTGCAAGTAGGTCAATTACAACCTCAACCTTTTCATTTTGCGTCATTGTCAGAAAAAAAATTAATTTCTACCAAATTTTAAAACCTTATAAGCCTAAAAAAAGATATCGTATTTCAACAGAAATTCAATAGGCTGGATAAAAACTATTTGTGACGCTAGGCAGTGAGCTCATCTATTCAATACACTTGGTAGATCTGATTCCTTTATGTTTTCAACTTATTCAAAAATCCCTTTCATAGCACTGAAAATGCAAATAGACAACCCATTTCACTTAAGCTATTTCAATTTCCCAGCATCCCCTAAAGCAAGATAATTTTGAATTTTTTTTTCATGAAGTATATCAACCTTCTATAACACAAAGCATATAAGTGTCCACATTTAATAGCTTTTGCAGTTCCCGGTCATTTCCACTTCTATCTTTTGCCATGTCCATGGCTATGGAAGCTACGGAATCATTATTGACATGTACAAAAAATATTTTCTCATCGATTTAAAAAAAAAGTTAGTGATGCGCCTTGATACCAAGTTAAAATCGAGGCCACTCAAATAAGATTCAAGTCAAATAAGCCCAACATGGCATTAGTAGAAGGTTCATTTCCAAGCTATGTGCCTTGTTTGAAATTCTTGTTAGGATTTTATGTTCTTTATCGAATTTGGATATTGAAATGTTTGTTATTATCTTTTTGGCTGAGTTTTAAAATAAAAAATATAAATATAAATAAGTGAATTTCATTCATTTTTTTAATAAGTTACAACTTAATGTGTTCCAATCATGAATCAAAAGCAACTTCACTATCAAAATATAATAGGACTACGACTACAAGAGTGTTCTAGGCTCATGCCTCAAAAACAAACAAATACATTTCCAAATAATAGTCCTGGAGGTGAATAGTCACAGACACAAACACTTTTTATCCAAGATGAATTTAATAAACCCTCTGTGCTTTGGTCTTACGTGCTTCTACATTTGTATAAAAAATTCTGATCAAAGATTAAAAAAAAATAACCTTTGTACATGGTAGGATCGGAAGAAACTGCCAATTTCCATTTGAATTCAAGAAATCATATCCTGCAGAAATGGTAAAATAAAAAATTTAAGAAATAAAGATTGGACACAAATGAAGCATGTCTGTAATGACATGCTTTACAACCAATCCACTAAATCAAGAAGTATTTGCAAACCTATTAAAAAAGTTAACAAATAAAATGAAAAGTTGTTGACTTTCAAAAAGAGTCCAATAAATCTATGTTAATGAGAAAATAACTTAATTGAAGAGGTTTATGGAACAAAAGAAACATACAGTTTCAGTTGAATCATTCTAGCTGTAATCTTTTCCTTTTGATGTAATAAACTTTTTCACCTTCTCTTGATTTCATTCCTCTATTCTTTCTAAGATACCACAAGAAAGAAATAGTTATGCCTTCGCATCGAATCACATGAAAAAAAAAAGTTGTTATTAACTTTATTATGTCTTTTTTGAAATTACAGCAACCACCACTTGAAAGATTTTAACTTTTTAGCATTCTAAAAAAAATAAAAATCAAATTAAACCTATACACATCGCAGGAAAAGTAGTTAACTGAAACCCAAATCCAAACTGGTTTAACATGGAAATCAGAAAACTATACCGACTGTGAAAACTAAAATAAACACAAAAAAATATGAATTTTCAAAATCAAGAAATAGAGAGAGATATGAACCGGTTTAGCAAATAAGAAGAGTAAATCAGGATGAAGTCATGAACGTTCATCAGAAAAATCGAAAACCTATCTCCAAAATTAATTATCCTTCAAACCCCAAATCATAGAGAATCAACACAAAGTGAAAATGCAAAGACATATTTAGAAAATGTATGTGACAATCGGGAGAAGGAACACCGACCGTTCATATAGTTTCTAGATGGAATTGAAACGTGTTGCACAAAGTTTCTTCAAAAATAATTGTTATCGTCGTCTGAAAACCCACCGTCTTAAAGGAAGACACATAATCTGGAAATTTAAAGTTAGGGTTTTCCAAAATCGAAAGTCGACGATGTTATCGTTTTGATTGAGAGAGAAATAGGAAGCGAAGGAACATACATATTTGCCAAAAATATGCGGATCCAAACCTTATATACCCACCAGAGTCGGGGTTAATGGAGAACGGGATTCGGTGGATGAATGGAGAGGGGTGGATGTGAGGAGGGGAAGCGGAACGGCTCAACAGAACATGATTCAGCATGAACATATGTTAATTTCCATGGCGTCGTTCAGACGTAGTTGACGTGTCTTTCAGTAAACTGGGTAAAATTTGTGTACGCGCTCTTAGAAAAATAGGGCTTTTGTATACAGTAATGATATATATATATATATATATATATATATATATATATATATATATATATATATATATATATATATATATATAGAGAGAGAGAGAGAGTTAGGTTCAAATGTTTCTAGCAACTATTGTGTGCATGTATGCACCAATGACAATTCAAGAAAAAAATAAATCATTAATGTAAAAAAAAAAGGGTAGATGAGTCATTTTGTTTTTATAAACCAAAAATAAATTCTTATATATTTGGTATATCCCTTAAATCACGTCTACTATTATTTGATTTATTTCAAACCATCATCTCCACAACCCTAATACAAATCGCCGACCTCTTAAAAAACCAAGAAATCGATTTCTCGGCGGTATGTTTCTTCACTCTTCTCCTCTCTATCTTTGTAGAATCTGTTGGTCACCGATTTGTTCTGTTGGTGGTGAAGCACGGCAGCATGTGGGCATCCGACGGGAGCAGTGGTGCTCCGATTCCATCGAATTGGATTCCTCCGATTCATGTTTCTGGTGCTCCGATTCTTGTATACTAGGTACGATTCACCTTATTAATTCAGGCCCCTTATTAATTCTTCAATTACATGATTCTTGTAGTAATCAATTTTCCAATTTCTACCTATTTCCATCGACTTCCACCTACAGTAAATCAATTTCAAATTTTTACTTCTGCTTCTCTTCTACTCTTCTACTTCTATTCTGTTGGTTATTGAGAATGGTTTTTGGCACTAGTATTCATCTATCCTGATGCGCCTACTGCTTCCTGATGCGCCTACTGGAATTGAGTTTGTAGACATACTATTGTTGGAATTCTGCTTCTAAATCAAATATGTTGCTGGAAATTATGTTTATAGGTAAACTATTGCAAGTAAATACAATACTTTTGAACATTGTGGTATGCATTCTAAATCAAATATGTTGTTGGGAATTATGTTTATAGGTAAACTATTGCAAGTAAATCAAATATGGTTTTTGGCTTGTTTGATGATAATGCCTAACAAGTGTTTGTTGAAATGTATGAAAGAAAATCTAAAGAATTTAACCTTGTGGTATGCATTCTGTCAGAATTGCTAGCAACACATGTTTTATGTAATTGTTTAAAAAGATAATTAATTTGTCTATGTATTATTTTGGTTCAATTTGTGATTTTGAATTCCAATTTCTATTCTCCCTCGTTATTGTATATTTGAAATCTAAAATTATATTAACAGTAAATACAATACTTTTTAATGTATTCTATGTATTCTGTCAGAATGTATTATGCCAGAATAAAATCTATGTATTCTGCCAGAATGTATTCTGTCATATTCTATGTATTCTACCAGAATATATTAAGTGATAGTTAATTGCAAGTAACATGTTTTTAACCATTATTAGTTTTTGTTGTATTTGTGATAGGAATGGCTGGAAGAATGCGTTGAAGACCTAATAGGAATAACTTGAAGAATGAATAAAGTTTGATCATACTCACAATTTAAGAATGTTGTTATTTTTTAAGAATTTTATTCATTTTTGTTGATATTCTTTTAGAATATGTATAATTATATTAAAATGTATAAGGATTTTAGTTTGTAAGAATATGTATGAATTTGTATTTAAGTTCGAATGTATACGAATATATTAGAATATTGTTATTTTTCAACATCTGATTTAAAAATTTTGTTTTTCTTCAATAATATTCTGTTAGAATAAAATTCTGAAAGAACATAATTCTAACAAAAAATATTCTAACAGAATAAAATCGGTTATGTTTACAAATTACGTTAGAATTAAAATTGAATTAATTAAAAAAATTCAGATTTTTTAAATTAGGAGAATTAATTATCCCTAAAAATCCGAAAAATTCCTTTTATAAATGTAGTTAATTGTCCAAAATACCCTTTTGCTAAAAATTGTGTGATTATATGATACATGTTACCCCATTGTAATATCATACACTCTCAAATCATGTCCATTGATTAATTTCATCCGTTGGTCCAGATCTGTGCATTCTGGCACACAATAGTTAGTAAAAACAAAATAACCTATATATATATATATATATATATATATATATATATATATATATATATATATATATAGGGCTAGGTTATAATATGGATAGACAATTATTATGCGGACGTGTGGACAGTGATATTCTATGAGAATTACTAAAAGAATAAGTTGTTTAGTAATGTGAATACGTTCAACCTCACACAATTATTGTTATTTCCATGCATTCTCACTAATTCTTATTCATTTTTGTTCTCACACATATTCTTACAGAATACGACTCAATAAACATCCTGACAACATTCTGACTAGGGGTGTTCGTTTGGATGGATTGGTTCGATCTGATCCAATTAAGTAAATCCAAATTGATTTCGGTTTTCAAAATATGGATCCAAATAGTCCAAACTAAATTCAAATCCGATCCGATCCGATCTAATTACAATTCGGTTGGATCGGTTTTTATAATTCGGTTTTCAAAAACCATAACATTTTAAAAGGACATAGAATTATAATATGATCTAATTTTATAGAAGCAAAAACAAATTATTTACTTGTGATTTAAAATTTATAAACCACTAAGAAGGCATATTATAGTTTATTATTTAATAGATAAAAAACTTTTGAGAGAAAGTACATATTAATGTCTTTTATTAGGTAAAACTTTTTGAACTTATTTAAAAAAATTATAAAATTAATAAATAATTATAGATATATTGAAAATAAATACATAACAAATTGTTATTCGGTTTTTTTGGACTATTCGGTTCTTATTTTATAAACCAAAACAATCTGAAATCCAAAATAATAATTCGATTCTGAGAGAGTGAGAATAATAATAATAATAAATCTATAATAACTTTATAGACGATTTAATTGGTAAGAATGCGTGATAATGACGAGAGTTATGTAAGATTGAACGTATTCACATTATCAAACAACATATTTTCTTTGTCATTCTCACAGAATAGCATTGTCCACACGTCCGCACAATAGATGTCAATCCACATTTGAACCTATATATATATATATATATATATATATATATATATATATATACACACACACACTAGGTATGCTTGAGGCCCGTGCTAAGCAAGGCCCTCGGAGGATAATTTAGGTATTTTCTATATCATTGTCTAATATAAATTGTGCTATATTGTCCTAATAACCAAGAAAATGAAAGTACAGTGGTATAAATTGGTGGATTCTCTATTTACAATATATAAATAAGAAATAAAGGTGAAATTACATTGTTATAATCAACAAATACATGAAAGTACACTGCTAGTCCCTTTTTCATCTTATTAAAAACCTTTCAGCATCGTTTGTAGAGCACTCTATGGGATATTGGGGTTAATCACGAAATACCATCTTTAATTCCTCTATTCATGGCTTCATCCACTTTGTCTGTTGATTGCCCCTTGATCTTTAATGTTATGTGCGTTTCTTCTTGGTTCTTCAATACCTAAAAAGTTAAAATGAATTAGAAGAATGTGGAACTTTAAAAGATATTTTGCTCCTTCATCCGTCATAATATATTTGGTGGTAATATTAACATCAAGTAGCTAATTGATTTGTTATTTAATTGAAATGAATTGATTCATTATTACTACATTGTTAATGAATGTTGTATTGTGACATGTGGATTAATAAACAAAGGTTACAACATAGGACACACAAATCCTTATAGGGTTTGAAATAAGGTTTAATTGCATACCTTCTTCTTTAGAACCTCTAATGAAACATAGTATATCTTAACATCATTATATTTGGAAAGAAGATATGAAATTGATTGATTAGCACCATCAACTCCGCCTATACAATTTACTTTTACAACATGAAATTGTGAAAAAGAAAATAAACAATTCAGTAGAGTTAAAAAAAGCTATAATAATGAAGAAAACATGGAAAGATCATTAACTGCTTTTTCCGTAAGCAGTCAAGAGCTCTGAAATTTGCTTTTCCATCTCTCATCAGTCAAATGTTTGCTAAGGGACAATAAATATTAAAACTCAAATTATATGAAGTTCATGTCATTTGTCGTTTGCATCTTGCTCGACAAATAAAGGAAGGATGGTGCTATAATAGACAAAAAAAACAAAATTACACTTGCATTTGGCTATTAAAATGAACCAATAAATAAAGGACATGTTTAAAATAAAATCACCGATCATATTTTGGAAGCATGTGCACTTCGTGTAATTCAACTTGTTAGGTTGCTCTGCCAGAAAGATAATTAAAAAACTCAAACATCTGCAATTTAGCATCCTTTAATAAGTTAGCAAAGGTTAAATTTTCTTTAACTATCTATAAAAAATAAGATTACTTTTTCTTTTGAAGTCATCAAGTATTTGATTAGTTATGCGATTCTTTTTTCTTTTTTGTCCTCAAAAAGTGGTTATACTCAACTTTGCATATGTACCAACTAATCATGATCAATATATAACCAGAACCATACAAATGAGGGTGTTCTTAGTTGACTTTTGCTTCCAAAGCCACGAGTTGTGTTCCATTGCTTGATAAATCCTTTGTGTTAAAATTAGTTGGTGACTCAAGTCATATAGCACCTGTGACAATATAGAAAAGAATACTAATTAGTGATCAAATATTTCCAATAACTAAATTAAATCATAATTTAATAACTAAAGCTTGGAGCAAAGGGATAAACAGGTAAAAGAGTTACAACGAGAGACTATTAAACTTCAATATGAAATCATTTTCCATATTAGCATAGAAATGGGGGATTCCTTTTGTTTCCATATTCCAATTACGTTTTCAGATTGAAAGAAGAAAATGATGTTTCCATTCTATCGTAATTGAAAAAGACGAGAGAAAAATTGTCGGTCTATAAAATATTTCCAACCATCGGGAGAATAACCATGGCAAACAATTCAACTTTCTTCGTATCCATTGTTTCTCTTAAATCAAAGCTACACAATACAAAACCTAAAATACGATCTAATTATTTGTTTCTGTCCCTGTCTAAAAATCAATGA